TGCTGCTGCTGCTGCGGTGCTTTTCGCGGCTTTTGGGGTGTCTCAACTGCTCTGGTTGTCGCGGTGCTGCTGCTGCTGCTGCTGCTGCTGCTGCTGTCATTCCTTTCATTTTCGGATATCTCCACACTTTCGGAGAGCACTCTGCTGTTTCCAGACAAGTCTGCTGCTGCTGCTGCTGCTGCTGCTGCTGCGGTGCTTTTCGCGGCTTTTGGGGTGTCTCAACTGCTCTGGTTGTCGCGGTGCTGCTGCTGCTGCTGCTGCTGCTGCTGCTTTCATTCCTTTCATTTTCGGATATCTCCACACTTTCGGAGAGCACTCTGCTGTTTCCAGACAAGTCTGCTGCTGCTGCTGCTGCTGCTGCTGCTGCTGCGGTGCTTTTCGCGGCTTTTGGGGTGTCTCAACTGCTCTGGTTGTCGCGGTGCTGCTGCTGCTGCTGCTGCTGCTGCTGCTTTCATTCCTTTCATTTTCGGATATCTCCACACTTTCGGAGAGCACGCTGCTGTTTCCAGACAAGTCTGCTGCTGCTGCTGCTGCTGCTGCTGCTGCGGTGCTTTTCGCGGCTTTTGGGGTGTCTCAACTGCTCTGGTTGTCGCGGTGCTGCTGCTGCTGCTGCTGCTGCTGCTGCTTTCATTCCTTTCATTTTCGGATATCTCCACACTTTCGGAGAGCACTCTGCTGTTTCCAGACAAGTCTGCTGCTGCTGCTGCTGCTGCTGCTGCTGCGGTGCTTTTCGCGGCTTTTGGGGTGTCTCAACTGCTCTGGTTGTCGCGGTGCTGCTGCTGCTGCTGCTGCTGCTGCTGCTTTCATTCCTTTCATTTTCGGATATCTCCACACTTTCGGAGAGCACGCTGCTGTTTCCAGACAAGTCTGCTGCTGCTGCTGCTGCTGCTGCTGCGGTGCTTTTCGCGGCTTTTGGGGTGTCTCAACTGCTCTGGTTGTCGCGGTGCTGCTGCTGCTGCTGCTGCTGCTGCTTTCATTCCTTTCATTTTCGGATATCTCCACACTTTCGGAGAGCACTCTGCTGTTACCAGACAAGTCTGCTGCTGCTGCTGCTGCTGCGGTGCTTTTGGCGGTGGGTCTAGTGTCCCAACTGCTCTGGTTGTCGCGATGCCGCTGCTGCTGCAGCTGCTGCTGCTGGTGCTGCTGCTGGTGCTGCTTCCATTCCTTTCATTTTCAGATATCTTCACTTTTTTGGAAAACATTCTGCTGTTTAAATTCTGCTGCTGTTGTTGCTGCTGCCGCTGCTGCTGCTGCTGCTGCTTCTGCTGCGGTTTTTGCGGTGTCGCAACTGCTGGTTGTCGCGGTGCTGCTGCTGCTGCGGATGTTGCGGTGCTGCTGTTCGCACCCAGCTTTTATATTTATTTTCACCTCATCATTTTTCAGTTTAATTAATCAATTTACTTATTTAATTAATTTAATTAATTTAATTAATCGATTTAATTAATTTAATTGTTTCCCTCACTCCCACTTTGCTTAGTTTGCTTTAAGAAATTAAACAAAACAGATCCTCCAAATCCAGCCTCAAGCTTGATATATCTCTGCTGCTGCTGCTGCTGCTACCTTTGCTGCTGCTACTGCTGCCGCTGCTGCTGCTGCAGTGTTTCTGCTGCTACCTGGGCCTGGTGTTTGCTTCAGAGTTGCTGCTGCGCTTTGACGCGAGCCGCAGCAACTTGTGTCTCATCCCCGCTGCTGCTGCTGCTGCTGCTGCTGCTGCAGTGTTTCTGCTGCTACCTGGGCCTGGTGTTTGCTTCGGAGTTGCTGCTGCGCTTCGACGCGAGCAGCAGCAACTTGTATTCTTTTATTCCTTTTTTTAATTCTCTTCTTCCTTTCGAAAAGATCCAATTGCTGCACAATTGGGTGGCCCTCGTTTTGAACGCTTTGCTGCTGCTGGCCCCGGACTTCAGCGGACAGGGAGATGAACTCAAAGACGAAGTTGCGAGGTTTCTCCTGAAGTCTTCGCTTGATAATATCACCCAGTGAGCAGGGTTTAGGGTTTAGGGTTTAGGGTTTAGTGTTTGGGGCTTGGGAGGGAAAGAAGAGGCTTAAAAGGAGCGGTTTAGGATTTAGAGTTTAGGGTTTAGGGTTTGGGGCGGGAGGGGAGGAGGAACTCAAAGACGAAGTCGCGAGGTTTCTCCCCAAGTCCTCACTCGATAATATCACGCAGTGGGGAGGGTTTAGGTTTTAGGGTTTAGGGTTTAGGGTTTAGGGTT